AAGTTTGTGTGAGCTGGTATTTTTATTTTCCTGAGAGAGCTCGTGAGAGAATTCCTGTTTGGTTTTGGAGGTTTTCTTTTTGTAAAACAAAGGATAAGTTGATACATCTGTAAATTCCTGCGTGTTCAGTGGTTTAGCAAACACAGGGAAGCAGAGTGTCACTTTGCAAGTGGTGATGCTGAACATCCCGCGCTAAGTGCTGGTGCCTGGCATTGCAGAGCCCTGTAGCAAGGGCTGATGCCTGTGTGGTGCCCTGGGATGGAGCTGAGCTCGGGTTTGATGTGCAGGCAGCTGCCTCTGGGCCAGCCAAGGGAGAGGCTGTTTAGAGAGTGGCTCTTGCTGTTCCCAGTTTACCTCTGCAGGGTCATGCATGAGCTCCAAAAAGTGTTTGCCTTCAGCCTTTGCTCGCTGACTGCCAGTCACTTGCACGCTGAATTCTGCAAGTCGTTCTTCCATCTGACCCAAATTCTTTTAGGACCCAAGTGGATTTGAAGTGGAGAGAAAGATTTGCCAGCTGAAAACTCGGGTGATGTTCATGCGTTTTGGATTTATAAGGCCTGTTTTCAACTCTAACCTGCTGGGTGACCATTGGACTAGTCACTACTGAAATGTAAACCAAAAGAAGACAGTCTCTTTTTCTCTCACTTTGAACACAATTTGCCTCAAATCAGTAATCTTCTTTCTTTAAAATAGTACTGCATTTAGTAGTTGTGGAATGTGTATATCTTATATTAAAATACTGCCACGAGGAAGACCTTCTCTTTACTGTGCCTGAATTCACAGTGAAGTACTTGTCAGGATTTAGAAGCTGACCCTGCTTGTGGCAAACCAGTCATCCATCCTCTCCCGTGCCATGAGTAGCACCCCAGAGATGGATGTTAGAGCCCAAGAGCCACATCCTGACTGTTATAAAAATTTCTAGGAATTAATATGATCTCTTTAACAGCACGAAATGGGATTATGTTTTTCCACAATAAAGTTAATCTTTCCAGCCATTGAGATGGGACTCCTGGTTCCCTCTTTATGGCCAGTCAGATCACAGAGCAATTAAATCACAATTATAGTCTAATTATGAACAGTCATTCAACATCATTGCAAAATATGATGTTAACACTGTCCTGCACGTTGTTCCGTGTTTTTAAGACCGAGTTACAACTCCTGTATGAGTGAATTATTGACCTGCTATCATGAGATTTAAAATTCATCTTCCATGTTAGAAATTTAAGAACTTTTTCTAACAGGTTTGAAAGCCAAACCAGCTCACTGCTGTTCCTGGGTTTGGGATTGTCATTTTCCTCTGGTTCAGGTCAGGCTGTGATCATTCATGCATCTCTTCTGGCTGTTTCTGTATCTCTTTATCTGGTGCCTGAGAATTACACTTACTCCTTTGGCAGCCTATGCATGCACAGGGAAACATTTGCCCCAGGGCAGCTACATTAAGGTGTAAAGATATTAAGGTGTAAATCGTGGCTGTGCAGAACTGATGATTTTGGGCTCTCATTCATTAGATTTCAGCATGGCTCAGTTTGAAGGTAATGTGGAAGCTGAGAAGATGCTGCTGCCTCGAGGGCATTTTCTATTGCATTAGCAAGGTCTGGGCTGTGGGCAAGGGTACGATCCTTGGGACCTCTCTTGAGGTTTTTTAAAATAATTGACCAAGTTTTTTATTTACATTCCTTTACTTAACTCCAAACACAAGCTATGCTTGCTAGTTATTTCAGGTGTTTGGTTTTTTGTTTTTTTTTTTTTTTTTTTTTTTTTTTTTTTTTTTTTTTTT